TTCTGGAGCGATAGAATGAGTCGAACCTGCCCCCTCACCACCCTTATCTGCAAAATAGTCCTTTTTGGACTAATCTAACTCTTGTAAAGATAATGCATGGTAAAAGGAGTCAGATATTTTTCTAGAGCGAAAGACTGGGTCAAAATGGCCCCGGCACATATATGGAAGCAATACACCATTTTTGGTCTAATCGGATTGTTGTAAATATTAACCATAGCACAAGGAGTTACAAACTTTCTAGGTCGCTAGAATGAACCGAAACAGCTCCATCACAGATATAGCAGCAAAATATCTTGTTTTGGACTAACCTGACTCTTGAAAAGAGAAAGCATGGCAGAAGCAGTCAGATACTTTCTGGAGCGATAGAATGAGCCGAAACAGCTCCAACCCAGATATAGCAAGAATACTCTATTTTTGGTCTGATCTGATTCTTGTGAATAAAAAACAATGTCAGGGTCTGAGAAATAGCGAGTTTGCATTGTCTCAGTTGTGACTAAATGGTTCCGCAAAGAATCTAGCCCGCCTGCTTATCACAAGCTGTATTGCAAACTTATATTAGGCGTTAGGTACACTGGCATCACATTGAATATAAATGCTACCCTCATCAGGAGGACTTGATTTGTACCTCGTGAAATAAACTATTAACTTTTTGAAGTCAAGAGTCAGTTGTAGTCCATGAACCTGATCATCATAATCTTCCCTTTCTACTACCTCCTCTTTCATTGATATCACACACCTCATTCACTATAACCATTTCATCAGTAACCCTTTAGCCTCTTGTATTGGATGAACTGCACTATTTTATAAATGTATTATTCCATCATTTTTTTAAGAGCACCGTTTCTGGTTTGGTTCTTGTGACAGACTAAAAGGTATTTTATACAATTCTCTAATATCGTGAATGGTCTCATTTGGCTCATAATTCCTGTGACTTTCTTCCAGATTAAGGTAAGCTTTATAAATACTTGTGTCTCTCTCGTGATTAAGACTGTTTCGTGCCAATGGCCAGTGTTCGAGCTTCGTTAAATAAAAGATTTTGAATGTTAATTTTCAGGGCAGTTCGACGTTGCTCCCTTGGGAGATGGTGTTGCATCAATCTTCTAAGCTTCATTTTGCATGCATTTGGCATTTTAATGAACTATAATAAACTTTGGAAAGAGAAAAGGAAAGGAAAAATGAATGCAAAAGAAAATTCGTTTTTCGGTATTACTGTCTGCATTGGCTTTCGTTTAAAAGGACAAAAAACGTAAGCACGAAGACAATGGAGAAAGAAAGAAAATTTGGAAAAAGGTAAAAAAAAGGTGGAGTGAAAGATGAGAGAAGGTGAGAAAGGAAAGGCGATGGCATGAGAGATAAAAGGAAAAAGAGAGAAAATAGGAAATGATGGGAAAGAAAGAAAGAAAGAAAGAAAGAAAAGTATGTGAGTAAAGCGAGTGATGGAGAAAGAAATAGAAAGTAAAATGGCGAGAAGAAAGAAAGAAAGAAAGAAAGAAAGAAAGAAAGAAAAACGAAGGATGTGAAGGGAATTCAAAGAAAGAAAGAAAGAAAGAAAGAAAGAAAGAAAGAAAGATAGCTTGCGAGTAAAGCGATAAAATAAAGGAAAAAAGAAAGGATCAGGAAGAGAAAGAAAGAAAGAAACTAAAAGAGTAAAAAACTGATAGAGAAGGGGAAGTGAAGGACGAAGAAAAGAAAGAAAGAAAAAAGAAAGAAAGAAGAAAGGAAAAAAGAAACAAACAGTTGTAAATAAAAAGTAAGAAATGAAACAAACCCGCAGGAAAGATGTTAATTAATCAAGAGACAATTAATGAAAAAAATGTAATAATGAAAACAATAAAGAAATATAAAAGAAAAGAAAATAATACTTATCAATTTGTTTCATTTTTTGGTAGCTTGTGTCTTCCTTACATTGGCGGCCATGTCTCCGTTACCGGGTGAAAACAAATGATATACGGCGTCCATGTCCACCCTTAAGCATATACAGAGAATATCAACTGAGGCATGCACAAATCAAACAATGTCCACCAATCTCTTAGGCGCCACTATTTTGCATTTTAACCTTTTACTTTCTCCTTCGTATTATGGTTGCTATTATTTGCATGAGAAAGACGCCAGAAGAAAGAAAACTAAAAAATAAACGAGATTTCGTGAGAATGGCACCAAAACGAGAACTGAATGACGCGTTTTACACTATCGTATTTTCATATGCATGTATTTAATCCATTTAAAACCTTCTTCCTCTGAGTGAAGACGTTGTTACAAACTGAATCTTAGAGTAGCGAATAGGAAAATAGTGAGGTATGTAAAATTGACAACTAGGCGTCAATCAATCGGCAGCGACAGTTGGTAGAAGGAGGTGGAAGATTGTCGATATTCTGTGATGCAACGGTCAAGCAACTACCGGCTCTACTGGTTATTGATAGTGTTTTTTTTTTTGTTTTTTTTTATATATAGCGTGGCTCGCAGTATTAGGTCTATTTTGTAAAAGGAAAAAATGTATTTCTGTTAATTGACGCAAATGTGTCGGGTCCTTAACGATGGAAAAAAACGTGAAGAGAGGACAAACATGAGAAGCATGGAGAGGAATAAAAATAGGGAAAAAAGAAGAAAAATTAAATTTCGCTATTTTCCGGTATCTTAGCAACCATAATTTCTTGTGTATTGACAAAGAGCTTCAGATTTAAAAAAAAAAAAAAAATAGTTCGGAAAACACGAATCAGCCATGATGAAAGCGGAAACTACGAAAGAGGTCACAAAAGCTGGAGAATTTGAACGTTATAAAAACAAAAACAAAACAAGAGTTCCATTTTATATATATCCCTGTTACATGACACTAATTTAAACTTGTGATTTTTTTTTATTATAGATATAATTATATCGTGAAGGGCATAATCGTACGGCTTTCAGCAAGGATTGAAAAAATTCGTAAACGTGAAAAGTAAAAAGAATAAATGGATGCGAATGAGAGATGAATCAATAGATTATAGTTTAGTTGGTAGGTTAATAGACAGATAAGCGTAGATTTAATTGGTGCATTTTGAAAGGCTTCTTATAGGGGTAGAAGTTCATAGAATGCTCAAAATAGAGATAGATACTAATTGACTGAGATAGATAGATAGATAGATAGATAGATAGATAGATAGATAGATAGATAGATAGATATGAACAGAGACATATATGAACAAAGATATATATGAACAAAGATATGAACAGATTGAAATAGATATGAACAGACTAAGATAGATAGATAGATAGATAGATAGATAGATAGATAGATAGATAGATAGATAGATATGAACAGACTGAGATACATAGATAGATAGATATGAACAGACTGAGATACATAGATAGATAGATAGATAGATAGATAGATAGATAGATAGATAGATAGATAGATAGATATGAACAGAGACATATATGAACAAAGATATATATGAACAAAGATATGAACAGATTGAAATAGATATGAACAGACTAAGATAGATAGATAGATAGATAGATAGATAGATAGATAGATATGAACAGACTGAGATACATAGATAGATAGATATGAACAGACTGAGATACATAGATAAATAGATAGATAGATAGATAGATAGATAGATAGATAGATAGATATGAACAGAGACATATATGAACAAAGATATATATGAACAAAGATATGAACAGATTGAGATAGATATGAACAGACTGAGCTAGATAGATAGATAGATAGATAGATAGATAGATAGATAGATAGATAGATATGAACAGACTGAGATAGATAGATAGATAGATAGATAGATAGATAGATAGATGGATAGATAGATAGATAGATATGAACAGACTGAGATAGATAGATAGATAGATAGATAAAAATAGATAGAAAGAAAGAAAGAAAAAAGAAAGAAAGAAAAAAGAAAGAAAGAAAAAAAGAAAGAATATTGTTCACATAATTTAACTCCTTTCTATACTATTACATATGGGTCAATTCATTTTCCGTCCTCGTCCCATGTAATTCAATGAAAGAAGGCAAAAGAAGCCCCATTCTTTTTCTTTCACGGAAAATTACTAATTGAACCACAATAATTTCCAATTATTCTTGTAATTTTGATATAATATGATTATATAAAAATTACCATTATTACAACTAAAATTGTCATTCTAAAAAGTTCATGTGAAAATATTTCTATAGCTAGTCCATTATAGTTCACATAATTTACATAGACATTTCCTACACCAAATGATATATCTATTATGGGATAGAGTTTAGATGTTTCTGACAAGAGAGAATAATTTAAAAAAACAAATACCCATGCGCGTAGTAATGTTACTACTACGAATACTACTACGAATACTACGGCTACATTATTTTGTATTCGTTAAAATCTTTAAGAGTCATAAACAAATCCAGTATCTTTTGCAAAATCGAAAGTCCACTTCGTATAATTACTGCTGCTAATACACGAGGAGTTTCTTAAGTCATCACCAGAATAGGTAGAGACAAGTTTATGAGTTTAATAAAATATTACAAATGGTGTTATGAAGAATCGTTTTTTTTTTTTTTTTTTTTTTTTTTAATAAGCTATTAGTGGTTAAACGTTAGAAGTCATCTAATAAAAGCGTGTCGAACTCATTTTTAAATCTAAAGTCGTAAAATCGACGAGTTTAGCGACGTACAGTGGCGTAGCTAGAGTAAACGTCACCCGGGGCGGTCCGCTCAAATGTCACCCCAATGACCCCGATTCACCCTATGCTGAATGGTTAGCTGTAGCTAAATTTTCATACATGCTCTACCTCTACTTTACTCTACTGACCGGTACGTTACTGTTTACATGTATGATCCAAGACAAAATCCAATACCACAAAATAATCAGTTCAAATCAAAAGCTGAAAACATTGCTATTTTTCCTACTCACAAATTTCCCGACAATTTATTAGAAAATTTCTGACGGGGGGACAAAACTGGAGGGTCATAAATTATTTCTGGGGGGGTCATATGCCAGCCTGCGAAACCCTGTGTCTCCACCATTGTTTCAGAATATTTTTGGCACCTTAGCCTGGTTGAAAAATTTTGTTAGGGATGACATTGTGTCACCCCTCCTGTGCTGGCACCCGCTGCGGTCCTCACCCCCTCGCCACCCCCTTAGCTACGCCACTGGCGACGTAAGCAAGGTATGACGTGTTTTTTCAAAGGATTATTCGTAATTTGAAAAAGTCGATCACTAAATTAATCGACATAAAATGTCTGTCGTTTTCAATATATATATATATATACATATATATATATATATATGGATATATATATATATATATATATATATATATATATATGGATATTATATATATATATATATGTGTGTGTGTGTGGTGTGGGTGTGTCTGTACAGAGGAAAAGGAAAGGAAAAACTTGTCCTTCGCAGTTTTACCAAATTGCGATAGCACTGTTTACAGTAGTACAATATTTTCTCCACATTGGCGACCCTTATAAAAGAAATTGAAAATGTCTGTGCAGTAATTCCACTTGACACTTTGGCTAACGCTGTCTAAGCAGTAGTTCACCGTATTAATAAATGTCTGGAAGCTAAAGGCCACCATTTTTAGCATCTTAACATCTCTTGTGATTGTAGAGTTCAAATTTAACTTGGATTAATCTCGTGATGTCTGAATAAATTTAGTAGTACAATATCTATACATTTTTTCTTTGCGGAAATGTTTATGCATTTTGGTGGAGGTGACTCTCTCTCTCTCTCTTCTATTATATATATATATATATATATATATATATATATATATATATAACTGGAGATTGAGGACAAAACCCAGCAGCGACAGTCTGTTTCATGCTTAAACGCAATCGTCAGGCTATGTCTTATATACGCTCTATCCTCGATATCGAGCACTTTAAGTTATAAATAAAGGATACCTTGAACTATATTTTTATCATATATATATATATATATATATATATATATATATATATATATATATATATATATATATAACCATGGAAACGTGATTTTAGCTGTGTCTTTAAAACCCGGTAATTTTGAAAGTTACTCCAAAATTCGCTTGAAGATGAAATGGAACTAATGCTTTTAATTTAATTGCAAAATTAAATTCGGGGTTTTTAGCTTCTATTTTTTGAAACATGGTTGGAACTGTGTAGAAAAAAAAAAAAACATATTTTAAATCAATTAATTTATAATATTAATGCTCTGTAAATTTACATTGAGCACTATTTTGTAAAAAAAAATAAAATATCTATAAGAACACTGGATTTTATATCTTACTGTTCTTTCTTTTTATTTTTACATATATATATATATATATATATATATATATATATATATATATATATATATATATATCGCCTCTTGTTCTCCTTTTTTATGTTATCGATTCGATATGATGAATAATGATCGTAATACATACATACATATATATATATATATATATATATATATATATATATATATATGTATGTATATTCCGATCATATATATATATTTTCTTCAGCCTTCTTCATGTTAACTGAGATAAAAATAGAAAACTTTTTACAAGGACTTTTCTTTAAAAATTGTTCTTTTTCCTCCTTTTCTTTCTAGTAATTCTTTATTTCTTTCTTTATTTCTTTCTTTCTTTTGTTTTCTTCTTTTCTATGACACTTTCTCCTTGCCTTTTTTTTTTCTATTTTCGGAAATATGCTTGCAAACACTTCTCGTTCCTTTCCATAAAAAAAAAAACTCGCGCCTTTCGCCTCCATTTAGCGTTTCGTCATTCCTCACACCAACAAACAGATTCTCCCGTTATCAGACTCGCTTACTAACCCTTCCCATCACTGGTAATAACGAAACCCTGACGAGATCTTACGGTCGGGTGATTACTGTTCTTTAAACTCCTATTGCCTCTTGATCTCCCTTTCTGTTATCGATTCGGCAGCGCTGAACAATGATTGGAATGTCGGCGGCACAGAAGCAACTGCGTGTCACTGAGCCAGTCTTTCGCGGTCAACTAAGTACGAAATCACCAATCCTTGAACCTGAATTAGATACTTAGGATGCCACGCCCGAGTTGGCTTTTGGGTTGTGTCTTGTGCACTTTTTATTTGTTTTTTTAACACATAAATGGAATATTGAAGGACGATAAGACTTCAATTCAATAATTCGGCAAGATAACCGTCTCTTTGTACATAATGAGCCTAAAATGAAAACCAGATTTCAATGAAAAGTTACATTGTGATAATATTCTGCAAATGAAAAATAAAACATTTTAAACGCCAACAAAAAAAAAAAAATGAAATATTCTTCAATATTTTTATTCTTTTCATTTTATTTTATATTATTTATTTATTTATTTATTTATTTTTGATGGATGTATTTCATCCTGAGTAACACGATAAACTACATTCTGCAGCAAGGCCACTGGTCGGAAGGTTATGAGGGGCGTGGTACCACCTTTAAATTGAAGTTGTTGCCAGATCCACCCTTACCCGGGAGTGGTAGTATCTGTTAGGGTTCCAAGTATGGCAAACTGGGGTCAAAACACTATGTAAGTATAAAAATAAATTTTCATGGTAATAAAATACATTTCAATGAAAAGTTACATTGTGATAATATTTTGCCAATGAAAAATAAAACATTTTAAACGCCAACAAAAAATGAAATATTCTTCAATATTTTTATTGTTTTCATTTTATTTTATATTATTATTATTATTATTATTTATTATTTATTATATATTATTATATATTTAACCAGCAATACATTTTTGAAAAAAAAGAAAGAAAGAAAAAACATTACCAGCAATACATTTGACTCAACAAAAACCCTCTTTACAAAAATACTTCAATGTAACCTGATCTACAAACTGATTTCTTACAAAGAATACATATTTTATTCATACGAACCTATCCGAAAAATCTTGTTAGCATTAAATAACCCATTGAAGCTGATATAGCGGAAAACAAAAACCAAACCAAATAGTTATTTTACTGGATGTTTGCCGAACATATTTTGTGACAATTTCATTCGCAACAAATTATACTCCATTTATTTCGATTAACCGCGTTACTTTGAACTATTACTTCGCCACATATGTCAATGTAGAAACCGTCTTACTTCGCAATAATATAGTCGTCATTTTCTAAGCGTAGTTTAGATGTGGCACAAGGCCGAAGGGACGGAGAATCCAGTGAAGATCGAACTCACTATTCAGACATAACTGATCAAGCGAGATAAGCTTGCAAACCATTACACAGCGTCGAGGTGCCCAGCGATTTTCTAGGCGTAGCTTAGATGTGGTACAAGGCCGAAAATGTGGAGTACTCAGTGAGAATCGAAATCCCTACCCAGTCATAACTGATCTAGAGAAAAATGTTTGATAACCACGTCGAAATGCCGGAAAGAGTTTAGTTGGCAATAATATAAGCAACAGTGGACTATAAATAGGCACTGTTGATTATTTACAGCTAATTTGTTTAAATAATGAACCGATTGTTGTTGGCGTCATGTGGCAATAACTGTAAATATAATGATACGCTAAAATAAGTAATGATACGCTAAAATAAGTAATGATACGCTAAAATAAGTAAACAAGTAATCGTTTTACGTTCTCTGAATATTGATGCTTATATTTTTGTCCGAATTTCTGAGATGGGGTTTGTTACTTTAAGTCATAGATTATCTCTTTCGAAATACTTTCCATGTCTTCATGTCATTAACACAAAATTTCCGCTGCCTAGATGTGATGTTCAAACAATTATACATTCATTCTTTCAAACCATAAACAAATATATATATAGATATATATAGATATATATCTGCGATGAATAAAATGAAAATAACACTGACAGCTCATTTTAACATATATATTTACCAAAATTGCACAAAAAATATCTTGAAATGCTAAAGGACACATGGCACAGTGGATAAAGGCGTTAGTTAGATCCAGTGACAGGGCCCAAAGA